CCCAAAAGTTAGAAATAGGTGGCGGAACCGACCATGTTGTATATATTAACCATAATTATATTTATATATATATATTTTAGAAGAATAAAATTAAGAATAAAAATAATAGTAAGAACAAAGTAAAGAACAAACTTACTTCAATAAAAATTTTTTTATTAATTCTTGAGATTGCAAGGTGAACAAGTACACAACAAGATAATTCTTTCAAGATCTATGCTTTAAGTCTAGCAATTGTGTTTACAATAAAATTATTCTCGCTATTTATAGGTGAGGAATAGCTAAAAATAGCAAAGCTAGATCTAGGATATGATTTTTTATTTTCTAGATCTAGAATATATTATTTTAAGTTTGAATAAGATGTATAGATAATATATATTTATATGTATATCTTATATTTATATATATATATATTTTATTTTATACATATATTTTTAATATGTTACATATCAAATGGATCTTGAGCTAATGGTCCTCCGAATGGATCACAACTTGATCCCTCTGTCGTATCAGAATTAACGGGGGCTTTGTTATGTTAATTTGTAATGAATTCCATAAATTGGGGATTGCTACATATTATTTTCATGAATTTGAGTATTTGTTGATGTTGTTGAGTATTAGGGGTTTTTGGAGCAAATCAACAATTCAAAATATATTTGATTGAGCATATATGATAAAAGTTTAATTAGATAAATAATAACTTATTTATTTATTTATTTTTTTATTTTAGTTTTAAATATTTTATTGTATTTATAATATATTGTTAGTTTTGAATATATTAATTATTATTTCTATATTTTATTTTACTAATTAATAAATAATAAAATAAATAATAAAAATACAATATTAAAAAAAATATTTCAATAATAAAAATTAATCAAAAATTAAATTAAATGAAACTAACTAATAAATAATATAGAAATATTGAATATTATTTTAGAAAACTAACACTAAAAAAAATAATATATTTGTAACGGAATTCCGTCCCTAAAGTTCACGTAGCTAACGTAATTCCATTCCTAATTATGTCTCTGATGTAATAGTAACGGAAAAAGTAGATTTAGAGACAAAAAAATTTTGTTACAAAAATGATTTTTTCTTGTAGTGTAATTATGGCAAAATATTAATTTTATTATTGATTAAATATAAATTAAAAAAAATATTTTGAGTAGAAAATGAGATACACATAATGATGTGGAAAAAATAAAATAAGATCGAATTTTTTTGTCGGGAGTATAAAATAGAAATAATATTTCCAATAATGTACGCATAGAAAAAATGACGTGAAAGATAAAAAAAAGTTGGAGTTACTTGTTTGTAAATTTCTTTGGGACCGATGTTCTAAAATGGTAAAAAGAATAATGAGATATTTAAAATGAAAGTAAATTTAAATTGAAAAAAGATTTTATTTAATATTTTAATAAAATAAATAAATATTTAAATTTAAATTATTATAAAAATTTTAATAAAATATTTAAAAGGTATAATAAGACGAATGTAGTATATAGTTATATTTATAATAAAAATGTTTTAATTAATTCAATTTAAATGATTTGATTTAGTTTAATGTGCAATTCAGGTGAAAAAAACTTGAAATTTGAGTAAATAATGTAGAATTAAAACAACATGTGGGTTTATATATATATATATAATTGGCTTTTATGAATAATCTAGGCCAATTTCAAACTGTTATTCAATTTCCACCCAAAATATGTAAATTGGTCATTAAGTATACTGGTTCTTCAAATACTATTTTGTTTATTATATTAGACAAATAAATTTTGTGTCATTCTTTTGAATAAATTAATTAAATTTTATTAAATATTTTATTTCTATTTATTTATATAATATAAGGACAAAAATAGTAAAATTATTTCATTTTCCTTTCTTTTCTTTGTGTTAACCAAACACAAATATATTATTTTCTTTCTCCTCCTTTCTTTTTCTTCCTCTCTGTATGAACCAAACAAAATATTTACAATTATAATATTTTCTTTCCTCATTTCGTCCGTCCTCCTTTCCATTAAAATATCTCTTTCTCCCTTTCTTCATTTGAACTAACAGACTGAGCAGACTGATTGTTATACTAGTATTAAACAATAATGAAATTTAGAATTAAATATAAACAATTTTTTTACAAAGAAAAATAAATTTATAAAATTAAATGCAAATAAATAAGCGATATGTATCATATTATTTGTTTTTTTATATATATTAAAATAATAATATACTTTAATATGATTTAAATTTTATAATTAAAATAATAGTAGCATTATTTTTCTTATCGCTACTCGACGAGTCACATGTTTAAATTTATGATATGGTCAAAAAGTCCACCCTTAACTATCGGATCATCGCTACAAAATAATACTCTCTCTATCCCATATCTATATATCCATTTTCTTTTTATATGGAGTTTTAGGAATATTAGTATTATATTGGAATCAAGTAAAAATAAAGCTAAAAAGACTAAATTAATCCTATTAGTATTGTATGATATAAAAGTAATGATATTTGTGTAATATATTGTAAATTGAAAGGGTATTTGTAATGTTAGGTAGATAATACAATTACTAAGAAAAAAAAGAAGAAATGAATACTTTGTTATGAGACGGACCAAAATAGAAAAATGAATAAATTATTAAGGGACAAGAGTATTATTTCTCAATCTACTATAACATATTCCAATGCATACATTAGAGTGAGATTAAAGAAATATAATACTCTATCCGTTCCACTGCAAAAAATAATAGGATAAATTATATAATATCCTCTTATACTTTCATAAAAATGCATAAATTGTTGGATTATACTGTAAAGCAAACTTTTAGTACGCTTTTGTATTATTCAATTTCCTTATTAACTGGAATAAATAAATTGTTATTTCACATTGTGTTGCTTTTATTTATGTTTTATATATATTAGCATGTCCACTTATTTAATATTGTAGACAACATGGTGTGTGGAGATCACACAGAAGATCTTGTTGTCAGTTCTTTATTAAATATAAATGGGTTTCACAACTGAGATGGTTATGGACAAAACCATCGGTTTAAGTTGTAGTGTAAACTTGGAATTAGTTTGTCTTGACTATTAGTTTACACTAATGTGCTGCGTCACATTGAAAGGATCACAGTTGAGATATGTTCTTCTATTCTGACATTGAAGAACCAAGATCTCGGTAACTCTGTTAATTCTTAACCTTAGATGAAATAAATTAAATATATGGAATAAATGTTCGTTGCTTTAATTTACCATAAGTGAGAATCCTTAGTGATTCAACATGCTTCGTATTTTGGGCAACTACATTATTCGCATAGTAATTAATTTATTATCATTAAGGCACCATGTCCTGGACATCCAGGTTGATGACATCCCCTTAAGGAACTCAATAAGGATTATTGTATAAACCCTGCAGGTGGATTTAATCCGTACAATAATAAGTTTTGAGTGGTATTACTTAAGGAATTAAAAGATATTAATTAATTAAATTGTCAGAAGATTTAATTAATTAATGGATGTGGAACATCTTAAACATGGGGAATTAATTAAGTTTAATAGAAGCCCAGATTCAATTTGGGTTGGGCTGGGAGTGCAATATTAATTCTTTAATGGAATGAATTAATATTTTATGATTCGAATTATATTCAGGGCTGAATATAGAGATTTGGATCTATAAGGGAGCCCGAGCCCAACACCTTCTAAAGATCCCCGGTCTGGCCCAATTACCTGTTGGGAGACTTATTAATATGCGGTCTTTGTCAAACCCTAGTGACGTTTTTTTTTAAAAAGAGGCGAAAACCACAGGTGCAAGCCGTCAGCTCTAGGGTTTCACGAAGAGCAAAATTCGTCTCCCTCCGTTTGATAGATCGCCGCCCATCCGGTGTTCGAGCGGGGTTTGGGAACAGTCTGGAAGGTCTCTAGCGGAATCAACCTGTTCGTGATTGCTGTTGGTGGTTCCAAAAAGGGTACATCTCTAGTTCATTCTTATAGGAGCATGCTTAGGATCGTTTAATACCATGTATGTACGCGTTGGCATCCAACAACGATCCGTGGGAATGAACAGCCCTCACCGGCGTGTTCCTACATAAACATCATATGTTTTACTTATTGAAGGAAATTCTCTTGTGTTAATGTAAATAAAAATAATATTTGGTTCTAAATAAAGACCTACGCAAATTTATACAAATAAAAAATATCTTAAATAAGTTTTTAAATGAAATAAATAAATAAAATAATTGACCGATTCTTCATTTTAAAATTTTTTGGACAGATTGTAATTTGATTTTTACAAAAACTATAAAAACAAATAATTGATCATTTATTTATTTATTTTATTAAAAAAATTATTTAAGATATTTTACATTTTTTATTAATATAAAATCTGCGTAATTTAGCTATTTATTTAGAACCAAATATCATTTTTTGACAAGGAGAATATTGCGTGTAAATTTTACATTAACAAAATGATGTTTTACATAATAAATAAAACATATAGTATGTTTACTTGTGAGGTTTTATTTTTGGATTTTTATTTTGAATAATAAAATTTTGAATTGAAATAGTTGTGATATTTTGAATGTAAAATTAGATTTTACTGTAATAAAATAAATAAAAATTTAGTGTTTGATTTGATATTTTTAATTAGAAAAGAAATTGAAATAGTAAAATTAGAAGTAAAACCTAAAAAGTAAACACACTCATTCATTTCTACCAAAACACAAGGAATGTTTATATAATTTATCATAATACAATTTTATTGATTATTGATTAATGAAAATGTGTAAAATATTTTGATTTTTTTTTAAAAAAATAATCGTATATGTAATAATATATTAGTAATTTAGATAAAATTTAAATATTATTTTGGTATTAATATATATAATCTTTATTAAAATAAAAAGTAAATATTTTCACAATGATAAAAATAATATTTTAAATTAAAAAATTATTAATTATAAATAAATAAATTAATAAACCCTACTCCCAAACCATTCCGCCGTCCCCGTCCCCGTCCCCGTCCCCATCTCCATCCTCATCCCCTACCTTTTCTGGTTTTTCCTTGTTTTCTTTGTTTTTTTCTGTTTCTTCTTCTCCTTCCCCTCTTTCTTATCCTTCTTCTTCTTCTTCTTCCAAGTAGTCATTGTGATATCTTCCCGCCTTGAAGAGTAGAAGAAGAAGATAGAGAGTCGATTTGGTGCGGTGAGTTAATGGTTCATCTTCAAATACAGAGCACGCCAGCATCCACCTGCAAAAGTAAACAGCAATAAACAAAATATCTAAACCAACGACAACGACGCAGTTGCTAGAGAATGGAACCCACGACTCCTCCCCCTAATGAATCCCGCGGACAAAGCCAGAGCTATACGCCGCCGGCCCCGCCGTCGTCATCAGCGGCGCGTCTTTGGCGACCTGCTGCTCAAAAGAATCTAAGGAATCAGTGGTCAAAGCTCAATTCTCTCCGTCAGGACTGGAATTCCGCCGCTTCCGCCGGCCGTTCTTATGCCACCGCAATCGTTAACGCCTATCTCTCACAGAAGTAAGTTTTCCATGATGGATTTCTATTCGGATGAGTTTCTGGAATGATATTTTTGGTGAATTCTAATGCTTGTATTTAATCGAAAGTCATAGAAGGTACAAATTTGGCAGCGTGATGTACACTTGTATAATTATGCTTTGATTGGAGGTTATGTAGTAAGCAGACATTGTTACAAGCATCATTGGGAAGTGGTGAATTGAGATTCTGTGTAAATATTGTAGCTTGGATTTGGCGCTATTGAGTTCTATTGGTGTTTCCCACTTTCACTGGTTTAGAAATTTAAAAGTTACATTGGGGATGAGATCATCAGCAGCTAATTTGGGCTTGGCTTAAATGTGATGGACTTTAAAACCTTTCTTAGGGCTTAACGTGTGATCAATCATAGACTAATATTACTTTTTTCATTTGCTATTTGTCATAATTTCCACATATTGTTTGATCGAATTTTGCTGTTGGATTGTATACAGGTATATGGACAGTACGGATTTTGGTGCTTTGAGTGACCTGCCTAATATTCGAAAGAAAGCATGCTCCAAATTGTTCAAGCAGCAGGTGATCATCACATCGTTATTAATAGTGACTGTACATCTCGAAGTTATTGCCTGAATCACCCTAATGTAGTGTCATTACATAACATCGAGAACATGCAATCAAAAAGGAAGAGTTTAAGATTAAGACAGTTGATAAACAATATTACCCTTTCCTCTATTTTCCCTTTTCAGGATTGTATCATTTAATTTGACATCACACTTCTTTATTTACTATGCTAGTCTACATCAGCTCATTGCATGCTTCATTTCCATTGTTCCATCTTAATACCCCTCACCATTTCATCAATGAATGTTATCGATTTCCAAAGTCCTCCAACATTCTACACTTTCTCCTGCTTAATGTTTACATTTTTAAAAGTGTATTGTGCACCGTCCACCACCAGGGCTCCATAAGGATTTTGTGCCACATTAGATGCCATTTGCAGCAATAACCATTTGTTTGCTTTTGTAGCCCTTTGTTTGTTATTAAAATTAACTAAATGTACAATGGGATTTTACTTTGTTGGGAGTGAACATCAGAAAAGGTAGTGCTTTTCTGAAAATTATATATACTGTTGTATGAAAGAGGAGTTAGGCTAAGACGAAAGACTTGTTCTATCAGCATTCTATGTCTGCATTTATGTTTTAAATATTTTATTTCTCTCCTCAGGAACATCATAAGGGGAATCTCTTGTCATCTTACAGAGACATGGTACAAGCATATAAATTTTTATTGTGTTTCTTCGGTTGAAACAATATGATTGTTTTTCTGCTACACACACTATGTGTTATGTCAAAAGTTTTTCATTCTTATATCTAATTAGTACAGCAAGATAGAAAATATTGATCCTATAATGAAATTTTAGTCATGATTGGTCAAATACGAAATGTTTAGTGAATAAATTTCTGCATCATTACTTGTGGAATAAGTACATTCTATGTTATGATAACTTGTAGCTGTTGTAACACCCCGGCCGGATCAAACCGGAGTGTCACTGCCACGCCACACCAGAAGGCTTGTCCATCAACCAACGAGTCCTACGTTATGGCGCTAAGGCTAAAACAATAAATACAAACAACTAAATAGGGATTTAAAATTAAAGCGCACTAGTTAATCATTTAAATAAATAAGGTTTGAGTCAAAAGCATAAGTTGGAAATAGTTCAAAACGCATTAGTTCTTAAACATTAATAATGAATTTCAAAAACAGTTTGGAAGATTAAGTAGTTCTAATTCCCCAAATGGATCATATGACGTGAATGCATCAGCTAGGTATAAGGAAAGTACCATTACCTATCATTCAATGTCATGTACCAGATAGTCATGCCACACTGTGTATGTATGTGATCTACCTTAAATCTTGTTCTTTGAAAATGAATTTATTATAGGTTGCTTTCCTTAACCGGTTCCTTTATTAGTTGGAAGAGTGGCATGTATCCGCATTTAATGGAGACTCAATTTACAGGTTGTTGTTGTGACTCGTATGGTCGATGTTTGTAAATCTATGAGGTGCTATCTCAGAAAAACGAGCAATAGTCAGTTAACTCAATTCTCATTATCCTTGGAGGATGATGGCGACAGTGGAGATTGTGGAGGAATTCCTGTTTTTGTGTTCCACACCATTGCTTCCTTTGGTATGTGTATAGTAATTTTCTTGCACCAGAGATTTAAGTATTGACAGTGATCTCTATATTGTTGTTGGTCTTACTAATCATGATACAAAAACATTTGCACTTTTTCTTTCAATGCTGACATCTATGAAATTACTTTTTCACAGGAGTAAAACTGTTAAAAGGAAATTTATGATTGCTTAAAAAGGCTACAATTGTGCTGCTAATAAATTACTTGTTAAACATATGTTATCAAAATTAAAATGATATCTTTCCTCCTATGTTCCAGTTATAGTGTAACTGGTTATAACAAATGTAACTAATCTTAATGTCTTGTGCATGAGAAGCACAATCAACAACAAAAGTTAGAAAACTTCGATTCCAACAAATTGTGCCTATATTTTGATTTTCTATTTTTTCACTTCTTGATCGCCGGCCCTTCTGTTTATTTTGCCATTGCTTTCTTTCCCCAATGCTAGATACTTTATATTTAATGTCTGAGATATCAATATACACAGAAACTACTGTGTTCTGTAGTTGGCATTTTTCTAATATCTTTTGTTAGTTAATCCTCCCTCGATAAGTTTTTTCATCCACAAATATCTTTCAACACTAATGGAAACACTACCTTGAAATATTTAGCATGTTGGGGAGTCTTGCTCAGATTATTTCCTATTTATCCCTTATGACAAGTCTATTTATTTCAAATGTTCCAGAAGAACTAGCATGGGAAATTGTTCGGATGTTTACGTCAGAATTAAATTTGAAGGTCATATCATTCACTTAGAATTATATTCTGTTAATTCCCTTTAGATTTTATGTTCTTAACTTGTCGTTTCAAATAACCTGCTGCAGCGGTTGCTTGTTCTGGAATTGTCGTCCATCTCCTCTGATAAAGTTGATGATTACACTGGATTGCAGTGGTATGATGAATTCTATGATGGAGAACTTAATGATCTAAGTATACTTAACCTGTACTCCAAGGTAACTTCTGAACCAGTAGTTCCGTGCCTCAGAAATGGCAACTCTGGTACGCTTGTGCAATCTAAAAAGGTGCCAGATAGCAATGGTTTACAGGTATATGGATTTAATTAAAACCTAAATGATATCAATATGCAACCGACATCCATCTTTGCCACTAAACATGGACATTTCATCATCCCTGTAGTTTTATTTCAGTTGCTTAATGTGCATATATGTATTTCTGTTGTTATGAATAATATCTATGAATACACCAGTGAGTATTTCAATGCATGACATTTGGAAGAAATATTTGCTGAAGACAAACCTAATCTTGTTACCATTTACTCCATACAACTGAAGTATTATCTATGGTTAGGTTTCAGTAATTAGGCTGGGCTTTAGCATATATAAAAATGCTTTGTTCACCTTTCAAATAATTTTATTTGTATGTGTTAGTAAGTTGTTAAGAGCTTACATGGCATCTATGAAACAACTTCATTCTTAGTTTACTTATTCTATGTGGTCTGCAGGTTTACATTGCAACGTGGATGGTAGAGGTGAACATTGATCGAAGCAGGTAAAATTACCCTTTCAAATATTTCCAATGTACTTTGATTGTGAAGCTCTGCCTACTACATTGCATATGTTTAAGCTGCATTGCGCCGGAACTATATGAATAGCAAACAAAATACCACATTAAGATGCAAAGTTCTTACGGATGCTCCATTCCATTTCATTTTTACAGGATGGACAATATTTTTGCCATTGTAGGTGCAGAAATGCATGTAGACTTTATGGGAACATCCAATTGATGGTTGGGACTCTAGATAAAATGGCAAAATCACCTTCTAGCTTGGTAGAACAAATTTGCATTCAAGGTAAGGAAAATGGAGATTACATACTACATTAATTGTTCCTTGGAGCTGTTTGTAAGAAAGATAATACTTATAAAACATGGGAGCCAAGGGTTGAGCTTGATTATTTATTATTATTATTATTGTTATTTATGTATTGTTATGTTTTTTCCCGCACACTACTTCTACTCAATGGGATGGAACTCAACCCTATAGAGGACTACTTGAGCTACAATCCCCTTATTTATTGTATTTATGCAAAACCTCTCGGATTTGGTAATTAAGGAAACTTGTTAGGGCTAGATCTAGAGTCTGCTCTTAGTAGGAGCAACCTTAGCAATTGATTTTTAATTTTAGCTATTATTAGATACTCCCTCTGTCCCAAAAGACCTCTCTTATTGAGAGTTGACACGGGAATTAAGGAATAATAGTATTTAATTGAAAGCGGGTATAAAGTAGAATGTAAATGACTAAAATGCCTTTGAAATATTTTGAAGAGTATGTTAGAGTAATAATTAGGGATAGTATAGAAAAGTAGAAATAATTTTATTATAAAATGGGGACTACGGTTACTAAATTAAATAAGGAAACAAGACAATTGTTTTGGGACGGACGAAAATGGAAAAACAAAACAAATCTTTTGGGACGGAGGGAGTATATTAAAATTTAATCTAATTTTAATTCTAAAATTATTTTAATAAGAATTTATCTATAATCTCATCTTCATCGACTTTAGAATTCCAGTAAAAATATTTATAAAGTCTATAATTATTATTAGATATATTAAGATTTATTTTAAAATTTATATCATATTTTTCTTTTATAATTCTAATTCTAATAAACTCTAACAATTTTTTTTCTAATCTTATATTCGTGGCATTTAGCATTTGTAATAAATATTATTGAGTTATTGGTTTTATATAGTCAAAATATTGTAAAATTTTATAATAGTCAAATATGTATCACAAATTAGGTTCCACAGTCCATCCTTACTGAATAGAACTTTGAAAAAAAAAATATTTGTTTATAAGGCCTATCACTTAATTTTGTTCAAAGGCCTAGAAAAGTCGGGGACGGACGCCCTGGCTAGATCACCACAGAAAGATGGCTGTTATAAAAATTAAGGACTGAATTTTAACATTGCATCGACAAATCTTAGGTACTCCTTCCGTCAGGCAAAAATGGGTTTGTTTGGCAGGGTACAAACACTAAGAAAAACAATAAAATATGTTCTCTTTATTTTCATTTTAAGTATATTTTTTACTATATTTTTTTATATTAAAAAATATCTATTTTTTATTTTAATAAAAGTACTTATAATTTTCATATTAGATATAATTTATTTATACTTAAAGTGAAAAGATAAAAGTCATAAAAATAAAATATCAAAATTTTTTACATGTTTTTATTTATTAATAAAATATTACTCATTCAATCCATTTAATAAATTTATATTTACCTTTTCGTTATTATGTTAACATTAAAAATATCTTTATATTTGTATAATTTTTTATATATCATTATATTTGTATTATAAAATACTAATAGAAGTGTGTAATTTTTTCTTAATTTGCAATACATTTTGATACGATAATTAGCATTCAAATATCAATATAAAAAAAAAAAACAAATGTAATTTTTAAATTGGATAGAGAGAATATTATTTTTTAATCTATTACAAAATTTCAAAATGGTACTTTACAGTGCACAATATTATTTTAGTGTTAAAATTAGAGTTGTGTAGAGATACTTTGGAAATTCATCAAATGATGCAGTCCATTGATGGTGTATGTCTGATATAAGCATTCGTTACATTCGATTTTTTTTATTATTTTAATCATTGTTTTTAAAATTTTGTTATAATTTAATTATTATTTTTAATAAAATTAAAATTATTATATATTTATTATATTTTGTAAGAATTGGTTATCTTCAATAAAAATAATTAAATACTATTACAAAAACTTTTGAAATTTTAAAATTTAAATTTAACAAAAATTATTTATAAATATATTTAAAATTTATTAATCAATTATCTCGCTTTATCTATTACATTTTAGATAATTATTGTTTTTATTCTGTCTTTTCATATTTTATTTTTAAAACGCGGATATAAAACCCTATATGCACAAATATCTTACAATTCAGTCCTCATTTCAAAACATTTACTGTGCACTCCCCCCTTTTTCCATTTCGTTGTTTTTTCATTCCCTTTTTTTTTTCCGCGCAAAATCGAAAGTAAAGAAATTGGTGACTGAAAGATTGAAGCAACCATCGGCACACCCATTATTTGTTGATCTTCAATACTTAATCTCCAGTTGCCGATCTCGAACACGCATCTGTCCCTTCCGAAATTGTCGTTGCCATCACGCTGGCTACGGAACGTCTTTAACAAGAAGCGACGGATGTTAGGGTTTTTAAAGATTAGTATATGTTGTGAATTTATACTCATTCAGAGGTAGATCGAAGTCGACATTGTTCTGTCGGAGCTGTTCGAGAAGGAAGCCCAACCGTTCCGTCATTGGTGAAAGAAGACGTTGTGGTATGTTGTTCATCGTTGGAGAATAGTTGCTGCTCGAAGCCACCATCACTATCCGTCATTGGATAAATCGATCTTGAAGTTTTCAGTTGATGAATTTCGTGGAATATCGAACAAGTTTTGTAATATGATCTTGTCCTGTGCGTGAATCCTTCAAAGAAGAAAGATTTGTTTTATTTTTTCAATATAAGAGCATTGTTTGTTTGGATATCTTGTGCTCTTGATTTCGGACTCGCCTAATGTCTTTTTAACTTTAGAATTATGTTAACTTTAGTTTTGTTTCAACATTATTAATTTGGATTTTATTTCAAATTCACTTTCGTTAATATTTTTATTCGTGTTTTATGAGATTTGTTTGATAAAAGTCATTGATTTGGGAATAAATTCACAATAGTAACTCTATTTCAAATGGATAAATTTTGTTTTAGACGTGAAATAATTAGTTTTCAAGCATTCAATTGTTTCCTAAATATTGAATGAAATTTTTTTAGAAGTTGGGATTGAAGTTTTGTTGGAATTGCTTTTATGTTTTATTTATTTATTTTGAAGGTTTGGGCACATGGTAACAATCGATTTATAGAAGTTCATATTTTGTAGGTACAGTGTAGGTTAAATTATTTGATTGTATGTAGTACATGGAATAAAGTATAAATGATAGGCTTCAAACTTGTGTTGGGGCAAACTTGTGTTGGGTAAAGCTTATTGGAAATATTATGTTTTTAATAGTAAATGTCAACTTTATCAAGTAATAGTTTACTTGTCAACTTTAAAGATCAGTTTGCTTCTCCTTTTGAATATAGATCTGATTTTTATGTGTATATTGTGGCAATTTACCAAAAATCAACATGAAGCAATATAATTTTATTTGGAAAATTTTTTATTGATTGTTTTCGAAACAAAGTAGTATATTTCTATTTGCGGGATTCATTAAGGTTCATGAAATTACTTTAGAAAAGGAAACCCTAATCCAGAATCTTTACATAAATCTATCATAATCCGAATGCTTTGATGTAATGTGTCTTTATATATATATATATATATATATTCGGGCATGATTATTATATCAATAGAAATCTGAATTCTTTGTTTTCTTAACAAATACTAGTATAACGTACAATATTTTATCATGATCATTATTATATCCTATTTGTTTGGATATGATCTGTTTAAGTAGGTGTACCATGATCCATGGCCTAAGTATTTGTAGCTTACGATATTTTACTGCATTATTTAATTTTCTGTAGTAAATAAATACAGTTGTACTATTAAAACATGATAGTTAACTTTACACTATTTGTAAATACTTTGTAAAGTAGGATGAGTACCTACCATTTTTATCTTTTTAATAAAAGAAATATTATTACCATTTAGAACTGGAACTCTGAATAATTGTGAGGATATTTCTTTGTAATTTTTTCTTTGTTATGCAGGGGCGAGATAGTTCGGTTGTAAAATATTATGCCGTGGTAATTTTTTCTTTTTTATGTTGTGATAATATCATTTAAATATTGTATTGTGGTAATTTTTTTCTTTATCATGCAGGAACTATGAATTGGTACATACCTTTTTTTTGTCTTTGATTGATTCAACATAAATTATTGCGTTGTGCATCGACAAGAAATGTGTTTGGTGTATTTATACATCCTATCATATTCTCGATTGTACATTTGCCATACGTATTTGCAATTTGCAACACACCTGTAATTTGAGATTCGAACACAACCGACGTAGTTGCAATGACCGGGTATTATAGATCTTTTAAAGTTGTAATTTTTAATTTTGAAAAGATGTACATCAATCATTTACTTTGTAATTACTTTTGGCATGTTGGGTGTAATGTAATATTATATGTAACTATACAATAATAAGAACCAAAATTGTATTGAAACTTATTTGTAAATTCGTTGCACTGTGGTTTGTGAACTGAAAGTACAGGATTCGACTATGGTCAATTATAAATTAATTGTTGACGACAGAGATTTATTGAATGGTAACATAGGTACAAGTCACATTGCTCGATAAATTCCATCATACGAGTATTAAGCTAAAAGATGTAGGTCTAGGATTACCCACATTTGTCGTAAGGCTAAATTCTATAAACATCTAAAAACGGAGTCCAGGTACACATGTTAGGAAAAAATGGTACATTAAAATAAAAATGAGGCATATAAGAGGCGTGATGAAGTACTTAGTTATTCAACCGACTTATTATTTTATAAAGTGCTATTGAACGTTTTTTACTTGAGTCTACGAGTGTCTGACATGTCGTTTTGCTATATTTTATGGTCTCAATAATTTTGAATAGGATTAATTGACCTAATACATAGAAAACACTCAAAGTCCAAGTAGTAGATTACAACTCGCTTTTTCAAGTAAGAAATACATTTTCCTTGTGTTGCTTTGTGTGAAGAAGTTCATGTTGCATCGATAAATCAAATTTCGTAGCAACACTCAGATAGCCTAATAGCAATTAATATTTTAACCAACTAATTTTTCAATCGGAGAATTGGAGAAAACTTCCTATACCCATAAATGTATTGGGTTTCAGTCCCTATTAAAAAAATTTAACTCTGCACTACCTACTTTTTGATATATATGTGCAGTTAACTCCCTATCTCTAATTTTTCTTTTTATATCATTTACTGAACCCAACATTCTTTCTCATTCTTTCTGGAAGCTAATTCTTTCTCATTCTTTTTGGAAGCTAATTTCTTTAGCGCAGAAAATATTTTTCTTCTTTCCCGTCAAGTTGTTGGTTGCCTTTGTGAATGGATGCAATTACTCTGATCCCGACAACATTGCCGCTGCTGCCACAAACATTTTTCAGTCGAACGCCACCACCGAACTTCGACGACGAGCAGTAGATTTTACCGAGCGGATTGGCCTACCATCAATGGGCCCCTTGGCCTCTCACCCTTCAGATTCTTTAAGTTGGGGTTTTTGTTCCTGCCGTTGGCTTGAGGGCATAAATTGCTTCTATTTCTGATTCATCCTTCGTTGTCCCAATTCTTACCTTAACAAGATGAATATAACTCTTCTTCTTGTATCCAATGGTTACATGTGTATTTACATATGAGATATTGTCTTCTTGAAAAAAAAAAAAAAACAATGTTTTTGGTTGCATTAGAAGAAGACAAAATTATGTTTTTTGCATTTTTCTTGTATTTATTCGGAAGGTACCGTAGTTGTTGCCGCTCGAATTTGCCGAATGAAGTCATTTTTAATTCATTGTTGTCTGTAATCGCCATAATTGATTGTTGGATTAGAGTTGTTGTTGATTCCGTTTTCACCAAATCAATTTAATGTCTTGATTGGAGTTGAAACTCACCGATGAAATACATACACAAAACAAGTAATGTTTTTTTATTTAATTTATTTTTAGTTTTATACAGGAAGTTAATGTCTGCAGTAAGAGCATTGTTGCATTGAAGTTCCTTTGTAAATTTGATGTAATGCGGTAGATGAACAAAAATTACGAGTATGTGATAATGAGTTCTTATATATGATTTGTTGACGACAAAGATTTTTAGAAACATAAGAGAAGTATATGAATTGTAGATTAGTAAATTTATCTATTTAGGAGAGTACATAGCGTATTACTCACATCAAAATTGCAATAAACTTAAATTAATTATTTTACCATATGACATAAAGTGAATGTTATTTTATGTTGCATCCGTTAGATTCATACATAGAAGATTATGATTTTTTTTGTTCTTCTTGGAATCTATCAAGTTTACTCTAGGTCCTTGAGTACATTCACATTGTGAATTTAAAGTATGTAAGTACACAATTATCCACCTATGTCATAAGGTTGCATTCTTTATTTACATGAAAATGGAGCTTGAGTACATAATTCGGTAAACATTGGTACATTAAAATAAATAGGGGGTACATCAGACCTGCGCTGGAGTTCTTGTCTATTCAACTGAGTTATTATTTTTAAAATGCTTTTGACTTGTTACTTGAGTCTGTGAGTGTCCGACAATTTGGATTACTATGTTATGAGTCAAAATATTTAAGAAAGAGAAGTATTTGTTCTATTATGTTGAAAGCACTCAAAGTCTTAGTAGTATATTACAACTAGTTCTTTCAAGTAAGTACTAACATTTGTCTTGTGTTACTCGTGAGAGTGAATTTAAGTTACATCAATTTTAATTAATTTTGTAGCATCACTCATGTAGCCTAATAATGAAAAATATTTTAGCTAATTTGTTTATGACTTTTTAACATTCATATGTAAATATTGAATATTTATTGAATATGTATGATGGTGTTCCCCCACAAATGTTACTATTGTTGTTTACCTATCCGTTACAATTCAGGGAGTCGCGGGAACATTATTATATGATAAATTCATCCATGATTACCGATAGCAAGTGAATATTTCGAACCGAAAATAGTCGGTTTTCCAAGCATAGGTTACTAGGGCATATGTACATTTTACTGAAGCATATGAAACTATTATTATAAGTACGTAAGATCTGCGTCAGTGTATGCCGGTATTTGATGCAGGTATGTAAATACGTGCTCCGGGTACAAACACCGACGTTCAAGGTATGAATGATGTTTGCTTAGGTATTATCTATGAAGTAACGGGTATCCTTAAGTGTGGTCGATTTCAGTCAATCCCCTATTAGAGAAGGTAGTTAATAGACTCGGTGAGAACATTTCTTCTATTAGCCCCGCTGGAAAGGTTTGTTCATAATACATTTACATTTAGCAACTCATGCCACACTTTTCAATGGCAAGAGCATAATGTATGTAACACTATTCGTAATTTTCTTATGTGTCATATGTATCATCCCTCCTGCATTTTAGATTTTGCATTAAATTGTTAAGGCGAATGAATAATAATTCCACTTTAAAACAATGTGTATCAGATGAATGATAGGTATGTGTAAAAACCATAATCGATCAAAACAACATTGCATGACTACATTGATAGCACATCTGAGCGTATATATTTTAAGTTGAACATATATGCATGAGTATGAATATTAAGTTGGTATACATACTGAAAGTATATTGTGAGCATTTAGCTAATACATTCTAATGGCTAAAAACTTCTTGCACAATGATAACCACAGATAGAACATTTAGTCTAATACATTCTAACGTCTAAAAGCTTCTCCATTGAATTTTTGTAAATATGTACTCTTTGCAGTTTAATACTCTT